CTGATGATGAGCCGCTCACCTTTGATGGGATTCACTTCTCCGACTTTCAGTCCTACGATCGTGCAACATTCTTGGCTTCCATCCTTCGTCCCCGGACTGCACAGATAAACCTGGTCCGATTCTCAGCCAAGAAGCTGACTATCTCTGCTCGCATTTTGCTGTATGTGATATCTCACATCATTCTCCCTAGGCATTCAAATCATGCCATTGTTCAGGAGAATGATCTTTTTACTATGTGGGCCATTGGTACTCAGCTCCCCATTGACTGGCGCCACACCTTCTGTTGTTAGATGCGGGATGCCTCTTATGGTTCCACTGCACATCTGCCATACCCTATGCTCATTCAGCGCATCATGGAGCTTAAGGGTGTGCCCATGGATGGTGAAGCAAAAAAGAAGCTCGGGCCTGCTCACAACTGCTTTGGAGAAAAGCTGCTGATCAAGACGAACTTCGTTTACTTGCATGGTCAGTGGCAATGGGATGATGAGGCCATATATAGAGATGCCTCAGCGATGACATGGAGGAGGACTTGCACACTCCGCAGGCTGCTAATAGGCCAGTAGATCCACCTTCTACTGCTGCGACTCGCCTTCCTCCACTGCCTCCTCCACACACCACGTCTCGTGGCTATACTTTTCACGACATCATGTTTTACCTTCAGCAGCAAGAAGCTGCTCATATTGCATTCCGTGAGGACTGGTACCACTTCCATGAGGATGTCTCTTCTCGTCTCACTCGCATCGAGACCTCCCTTTGCCTTCACTCTCCTATCAGTGATGTTGGTGGCTCTCATGATGCTCCTGCTGAGGGAGATGAGGATGATGAGGCCACTGCTTCAGATGCGGACACTTCGAGTGCTGACGATGACTCTTAGTCTAGGATTACTTATTGTCATTTTGTTTCATAGCTAGACTACGCCTTTTTGGATGTTGTACTCCTTTTGATTGATATTATGTTTGAGTACTACGCGTATCTACTTGATGCATGTACCGTTTTTCGCTTAATGATATGCATCTTGTTTTCTTTGCAATTTCATTACACTATCTTCTTACTTGCATACTCCTTTCACTATTGGATTACTTCTTTTTTATATTGCCAAAGGGGGAGAAACATATACTAAATTGCGAAATACTCAATTACTCAAGTTGCAAGGTAAATAAGGGGAGATATTGAAAATGAAAATAACCTATGCCATGAACTAAGGGGGAGTACTATATTTCAATTGAATGAATTTATGCAACACTAACTCTCTTTCTCAATTTAAAGTTTGTCATCATCAAAAAGGGGGAGATTGATGAATCAAAGTGATGATGTGGTTACAACGTATACTTGATGATTCCACGACAACATGGTTTTGATGATAACAAAAAGGAATGATTCAAAGACGAAGCAATATCCAAAAAGCAAATGTGAAAGCATGCACCAAGTCTCAAGTATCAATCCAAGTCCAGAATCTCAAATGGTATACTTATTTAGGACTTAGGATAAATATGTAAAGATGTATAGATACAAAGCATTGCATGAGCTCAAGGTCATTCATCAATCATATATTTCAAAAGCATGCATCCTTAAAAGAAAAGTCAAGACAAATGGTTTCATATGTACAATATTGGTTTGGAAGAAGTACCTATGTGATACAAACTTTTCTAGATAATTTCCATAACTAATAACATGCATTACACGTCATAAAAATCATTTGGAAAGAGTAGAAACTCAGAACTCGTACAAAAAGGATGCTGCTATGAAATATCCGGATATTCCACTTTGAATATCCGGATATCCAATATTCTGATATGGAACCAAGAATATCCAGATATACAATATCTGGATATGTGCCCGACAAATATCCGGATATGTACGGATTACAACGGCTATAAACGACTAGAAACGACTAGTTTTCATAGGAGGTGTCATTATAAATACCCACATCAGCTGGGATGAACAGTACACAACCCTAGATCATTTATTGAAGCTTTATTACTCTTGCTAGCCTTTTATTGCTCATTAATTACTTACTTTAATCATTGCATACACTTGAGCTCATCTTTCCTTTGAAGTTATACATCTCTTAGTTCTTCAATTTGTTCAATCTGTACTTTGAGAGTACTTAGCCACTTCTAATCACCTCAATATTACTTCTTGATTTGAGAGGGGAGTGAACCCTATATTTGAGAGGTTACCAAATTCCTAAGAAAATTTGGAGTGAAAAAGTGTAAGTCATCAAGAGCCCGAAGTCTTGAAAAGGTTGTAGTGGTTTGTCAAGCACCCTCAAGCTTGATAGTTAGTGAAAAGAATTGATCGAGCGACTTCAGTCTGGACGTAGGTCACAGTGGTGGTGACCGAACCAGGATACATCTAGTTTGCAATTTCTCTAACCTTAATCTCTTTATTTAAGTATTAAAATTGCATCTTAGATTGTCTTTATATATTCGCTTGCTTACTTTGTTGATCACTACACTTGCTTTTACAATTAGACATTTCCTTATTAAATCACTTTATTGAAGAAATAGTCTTTAAAACATCAAATGAGGTACTTTGCGAAAAGATTTTGTAAAACTCAATTCACCCCCCCTCTTGTGTATTGAAGCCACCTTTCCAACAGAGACCTCGGGCGGCAGGAGGCCAGAGCTGAGTTGATTGTACATGTTGACTACTGATATGTCTGCTTGTGATTATGCTTTCTTTTAGTATATGACTATGTGATTTGAGACTTGATTGGGCTTTGTTGCCTTATTTGGTGAGCATGAGGGTTGTCTATGCTACATTGATTTAATTATATTTATTTAGACTTGAGTTGTATAGTGAATCAGGATATGGTCTGATCTACGTGTTGTAGTTCCGTGATTAGATACACATCTATATATGAGGTTATTCAGTTAGTTATTTATTACAATTTACATACATGCATTATTTTGTAAAATTATTTAGTAATCAACTTGGTTAATGATAATGACGGCATAAATTAAAAGAAATAGTTAGCTTCCGCATTTAATTAGCTGTGTTACTGTCATATGTATGTTTAATACACCAGGTGCACACGGGGTGTTACACGTTTGGTACATGACTTTTTTTTTATTCGAGAATTGTGATTACTAGAAATATAGTAGAAAAAAAAGTTTTCCGGGAATGTTATAAAAAAACCACTTGGTTATTTTTACCGAAAATATTGGTTAATTTTCCTGAGTGTATGTTTGACTGATGATAAAATATTGCTGAGAATATGGAGAGAATTTATGAAACTACCATCATAGTATCTGACTTCTGAAACACGATTAGAAACAAAAAATGGAGAAATCTTGCTATCTTCATTTCCAATATGTTTCTTCATCGCCTTCACAAAATATCGATACATCCTTGCCCCTTCCGATCTCATTTCTTTATTAAATTATATTTTAGGAACCGAATATAGGAAACACAAAACAAAACCTATTTGTTTTTATGTGATGAGGTGAGAGCAACTCTAGAATCTTCGAGCCTGAGGCTAAAATGAAAACGTTCAGGTTTATTTTATTAGGGAAAATAGATATTGCAAACCAATGATTTTGCTACTGCCATTTACGTCGCATATTTGGTGAATTTGTAAGGCACATCAACCTTATGGTTTCCTACCAAAAAACGCAGATAGTTGGAACACCACTTCATCATGGCAAGCTGCATAATCTCCATATTCATGGAGCTCTTCATCATCACCAATGGTGGTTGGGTTTAGGTGAGGTCTGTAGAGGGTCGATTAGTCGAGGGTTTAGAGGAAGATGAAAATGGAGAAGAAAAGGGCGGAGGTGGGCTGGGGTTTTGTGGTTGTCAGTGGAAGCTTGGCGACGGCGAGGGATGTGGTTGCCATGATCGGCAGTCTAGATGAGAGGAGATGCTGGGGTTTATGACTGGTGATTTGTTATGGAGATGGTGGTTCGGTGGTGTCTATGGCGAAGCATGATGGTCTCGATAGGGTTGGTGGATAGGGATATTTTTTTTAAGAAATGAGTGACCAATTTCCCATCTTATGGGGAAAAAAATCCATCTCATCCATGGTATTCTTCGATGAAAATTCGCAGTGTAAAACAAAATCATGAGATTTTTTTTACACGGGATTATTTTTATTCTTCCTTCTACCAAACTTCTACCAAACGTGAGAAATTAATTTTCTCTATACCACTTTTTCAGGAACCCAAAAAAAACCCATTTATCAAACACCCCCGTGAACTTATTTGCCAATCCATCTTACTTTTATCAAAGTTGATCACTTTTGACTTATGGATTCCACGAACATAATAGTGATGCCATGTATCACATTTGTGGGATTTACATTTTACATGATAAAAAATTAATAATTATTTTAAAATAATAATTAATTTTAAAAGTAGAATAAATTGAAAAAAAATAATTTAATGCTTTTTAATAAAAAAATTACGCATTTATTACACTTTTCTAAAAAATTAAAAATTACACATATGCTGTACAATGTCACGCCCAAAGTGGGCGTCACATGTGACGCCCCATTTAGGCGTGACACATGCGGCCTTGATACTCCCTTTAGGCGTGAATGGGTCAAAAAATTCTATATAATCCCCTATCACTCTATGCATTCTTCACTTCTCTTCTCTACCATCAATTCTTACATCTTACAATCACAATTGTTATCTTAAAATTAGAATTTTTATTTTATTTCTTATTTTATTTAAGAATGATTTCACATTCTAATTTTATTCGTGTGTGTTATATTACAATGGTAGGAAGGTAGAAGGTCGACGAGGTATCATGTTTGAAGGTGAAAAAAGGTCGACACGTATCCAACACAACGCAACCATTGGCGAACTGCATAAGAGAATTCGGCAAAAGTTAAGTCTTCATGGTAACCAATGTATCACTCAGATCACGATAAGGTTATGGTAATCCGAACAATACATTAATTTGTAAGTGGTTGACGATGAAGACATGGAGATGATAATGGAAGAATTTTTCAACCAGTCAAGGAAAGATTTTCTAAAGTTAATAACATACAGTTAGTAATTACATAAATCATTAGCGACCATAATTGAATATAATAAAGCATACCGGCATGCGTAATGCGTCCCAGGTTCAGGATGATGAGGAAGGGGTGAAGCAATGGGTGGGAATCGAATCCATGCCCATATTTGTAGAAGAATGTGGCAATCGCCCATATCAGATCGACCGACATCTGTACACTCGCACATATTCCTGAACAAGTGTGCCAGAACCGCAGATCCACAGCTGAAACGACCGATCTCATCAAATCCTCCCCCAAGCAACGTGAGTAGCCGACAACCGATGTTGATACCTCCAGACTTGTCCGCTAGTAACCAACACCCTAGCATGCGGGCAATGTGCACCTTTGTGAAATAGATCTCTCGATCATGATCACCCTCTGCATCAGTCCATCGAGTATATAAACGATCCAAGAATGAGATGCGGAGGTCACCTGATCCATGAAACTCACTGGCCAGTGGCTCCGCACCAAAAACAGCAGCACAAACAGCAAGCCAATCCTTATTTGTAGATCCGGTAACGACAAGGTTGTCAGTAGGCAATCCAAGTATGCCGGCCACATCCTGCAAGGTGATCGTCATCTCACCCTGGGTCATGTGAAAAGTATGTGTCTCTGGTCTCCACCGCTCGACCAGAGCACTAATCAATGGGGCATCAATATGAGATAAATCATACAATCACCACATGTTAACGAATCGTAGTACATAATCACATAAATACATATGTCGGAAATTGCATATTTGGATATGTCGCATGCGTGCAACATGTATAAATTCAACCTGTGTGAGGTAGTCAACGACAACCTCTGGAATATTGTCGGTAGGTGGCCCCCCTGTAGTTTCCCACGCCTGGTTTTCAACTTTCGCACATTTCTGTATTCCACACTCGCTGTGAAATATGGGCACTCTGCGTCTTCTTACGAAGGACCTCCCATCTATACGATCCGGGGATGATGTACATGGTAGGATCGGTAGGCTCTGGATCCGATGCAGATCCCGCAGATGATGATGAATCACCACTGAGAAAAAAACTATATAATATAAAACAACATTGAAATTAATCACATGTAACAGCAAATTTTATGTACAAATTAATTAAGCTATTCCCTAATTTATTATCCAAAAATATTAAGCATAAACCCCACGGACACTAATTAAATCGTAATGACATAATATTTAACCCTAAGTCACTAATAATTTCATAATTGGATACTAATAATAACGCCTAAGTCTCTAAAAAGTTCTCAATACACTACCGCATTCATAACATCATACAAAAATTACGAAGTCATTATCACTATTTTGCAAATCACTAATATACGCTAAACCTTAATGCATAATGAAATAATAATAAGAATAACTACGTAACAAAAAAATTACCATGCCATTACAACATTCATAGCACGGTAAAAAATTCTTAAGTCACTATCATTATTTTCTAAGTCTCTATTATACGATAAATACTAACATATTTGTAACGTAGCACTGTCATTTAAACGTACACATAGTAGGTATTAGTAACTTACCTAAGTTAGCAGAGTTTCGCTACGAAAATTTCATCGTCGCCTTGAGAGCACAATTTGGTTAGAGAGAGGTTAGAGTGAGAGTGAAATGGTAAAAATGAAAAAATGGGGACTTTTATAAGACCGGTGGGTTACGCCCTTTTTGGGCGTCACATGTCACGCCTGGTTTGGGCGTAACCCACCAGGACGTGACGCCCTTTTTGGGGCATGACATTGAACAATAAATATGTAATTTTTTGAGAAAGTGTAATAAATGCGTAAGTTTTTATTAAAAAATATTAAATTAATTTTTTTCCCGATAAATTAGACATTTCTTGTTTTAAAACCTCACAATATTTTTTAATCAAATTCTATTTTATTTTACAGTAAAATTGTTATTTTCTTTTATTTATTTATTTATTTTAAAAAAAAGGCTCTGCAAACCTCAGCTTTAGAGTGACTGCTTCAGTTTCTGGGGAGGGAGGCAGCATTGAGCACCACCATGATTCTATTCCTAAAGCCCCATTTCGTTGCTCTTCCCTCAAAGCTTGTGTTCCCTTATACTCACAAACCTTCGTTTTCCCTTTCTCTTTGCACCACATTCTCCATTTCACACTTTTCAACTATCACACTCTCCTACGGACCTTCCCTTCACAAAGGAACCAACCCATCCCAGTTTCATCAAAACCAAAGCGAAGACCAAAACGACGACGCCGTTTTCAATGAAGAACCCTTCACCAGAGTCTTCGACCTCGCCGCGCTTCGCGTCCCTTCCGCCGAATGCTCCGCCCTCGAGAGCCGCCTCCGCGGCCACCTCCTCAACTGGCCTCGCGTTCGCAACATCGCTCGGGTTCCCGGCGACGACGTCGACCCCGACCTCGCTCCTCTCTTAGGGAACCCTAATAACGGCGAAGAAGAAGGAAACGGCCTCGTTTCGTTGCAACGCCGGATTCACGGGAAAGCCGAGGGAGACGACGACGTTTTGAGCCCCGTGCTGTACCGGGATAAGCTCGCGAACACGTTCAACTCTCGCGGGTTCGTGAATTTCCGGAACCTGGCGAAGATTTCGAGGCCTAATAGGAACACGAAGAGTAAGAAGAAGAAGGAGAAAGCGGTTGAGGCTGAAGAAGATGATAAGCGTGTTCGGAAGAGTAGTGTTGTTGCGGTGGAGGTTGTTGAGGAGGAGGAAGAAGAAGGTTTGAGGAACTTGCTTGGCGAAGAGTTTGGTAGGAACAAGTGGAGGGGTTCGACGAGGTTGTTGCTTCTTGATGAACGCTATGCGAATCGTGGTGTGGAGGAGTTGCCTGAGGCAATTAAGGTCAACTCACTCTCTCATATTCTGTGAGTTTAATTCCGCATTCCCCCTTTCTCTGTGAAGTGTTTTGTGTGCGATTTTCTGCTTCTCCGTTAGTGTTTATCTATGTACATTGTTCAAGTTCTTCTTCATATTCAATGCTTTTGGCTTTAGTTTTAATGAAAGTAAGAAGAAGTGATAGGCTCGTTTCTTGGGCAATGTTGGCATATAATTCAAATGGGTAATTTCTGGTTTAAACGTTGACTAGATTGAGCTTTATGCGTTTAGAATATTGTAGCTTCCTTTAGCATGCTGATTCTGGCCTTTTAATGAGAGAATTGCTAAGGTTCCAATCCGTCTTTGAATGTGAGTATTGTTATATATGATTTAAGAGTAGTCTTTTTGTTTGACAGCACGGAACCTTATCTACGTTATTTTTATTTTTTGTTTTTTGTTTTTGTGGGATGCATTTTTTGAAAACGGATAAATCTGCCTATGTGAAGTCTTTGGCACTTGGTGAGACTAATGGTGAGAGTCAACCGAACAAATAATTTATGTTATCCGTGAAATGATAATAGTTCTTAAGCTGCAGCGTATGGGAACTGTTTTCTTCTGGCCTTGGTCTATTTGGGTTTTCCTTTGGTAGTAAAGGAGGGATTTAGTCCATATTTATGTAAAACATTGTGATGCTATGGTGTAAAGCATCTGAAACCACCTAAATTAAACTTTCTTGACGTTTTCTTTTATTTTTTTTTAAGACTTTTACAGGGCATCTAGTCTTTTGTGCAATTTTAGCTTCATGTTGATGTTGCCAGAAATTTTATGTTGTTTGTCCTCACACCTCAGTATCAATTTTATTTCAGGGCCTTTGTCCATGTTTCATTAGTAGTAGTTCACAGGTGAACTGCTGATTAGTTACCAAATTATCTTTAATTTTGATTATTCATCTGATGCTGGATGTCTCCTTGCTATTTGATGTTCCATCTCTTAGATTAAAATGGGATAAATCACATTTATATTCTCGTTTTTCATTTTTTTTCTTATTATGATGTTCTATCTGTTTTTTTCTGTCAATAACTAATTCAACCTAAAAACTTAAGCTATTTGGTGAAGTTCATATTAATAGTTTTATGTTATATTCTCTAATATGCCCCCTCACATAAGAGCTCATTGGGCTTGAAGGGTGGGCAGTGGGCAATATACAGACCCATCTACTTGTGCTAATAAAACTCCACAATATTGGGGCAATATATACAGACCCATCTATTTGTGCTAATAAACTCCACAATATTGGGGCAATGAGGATTGAATTCATGAGTACTTCGTCATAGAGGCTCTAATGCCTTGTTAATAACCAAGTCAAACCCTAAAGCAGGTGAAGGCCATATTAATGGTTTTATGTTATATTTCTTTAATAGTTTAAAATGGTATAAATCACATTTATATTCTTGTTTTTTATTTTTGTTATTATGATATTTCTTCTATCTGTTTATTTAGCATCTAACGTTTCATCTATTGACTTGTGACTTGGGGTTCATATTTTCATCCTGTTGTCAGGCTGTCTTGAAGGAGTATGCAGAAAAGAGTACAAATTTGATTTTTGAGCTAGTTAGATGCAAGTTGACTCTGTTTTACGATTACTGGCCGATGGATGAGGTATATTATACCGGGGACACACTGTTACACACATAATCTGTGTTTGTGTGTACATATATGTGTATTTAAATTTTTCGTATGTAAATATTAATCTCTCTCTCGACATGATTAAATTTGACCACCGTGATTTACTTAAAATGAAAATAATATGGTATTTATGTTTCATTCTTTGTTTCAATTTTAACACAACTCCAAATTCTTGTTAACTTGCAAAATTTGGATTTCAAGTCCTAACCAACTGCTGATTCATATCTACGATTATTTTTCAAATCGGAATTTGTATTCATGTATGAATCCTAGAAACATGTTTGTTTGTTTTTCCCTTGACGTTCTTTATTCGACGTCAAATTACAAGTAAAAAATTATTAATCGAATATGATTGTTGCAGATCTTGGAGACTTTGCTGCCTGAGGGTATGATTGTTCCTTCAGCTTTTGAGAGTGTTGGTCATATTGCACACCTGAATTTGAGAGAAGAACATTTACCACACAAGAAGCTTATAGCAAAGGTTCTTATTTTAGAATATTTTTGGTTACCGTGTTAAAGGCATATTGTAAAATTGTATTGCAAATTCTTATCTGTGTTAATATGTGAAAGGCTACTTTCGTATTCAGGTTGTGCTGGATAAAAATAAGCCAAAGATACAAACAGTTGTGAACAAGATTGATTCCATTCATAATGAGTACAGGACCATGCAGCTTGAGGTTTTAGCTGGAAACCACTCTCTTGTGACGAGAGTAGTTGAGAATGGAATGCGCTTTCATGTTGACTTAGCAACAGTGTATGCTCTATTTCCATCACTGATGAATGTAGAACAGTTGAAAGGCTTGCTTTACTAATTGCTTGATTAATATAATTTGATGAAATTTGTTTAATATCATCTAGGTCTCACCGTAACTGGTTCTTCTGATTTCTATTTCTGTATGTGGACACCATTGTAGCATGAAAGAGCAATTATGCCCTCACCAGATCTGAAAGCAAAATGTAGGCTTGAATTGCTTAAGGCATGTTGATTTTGACTTAATGTTGAAATGTTTTATGATATATTATTATTAGGCATTAGTTAGTTAATATAGTTCTGTGTACTGAGACCTTCATGCGTATGTTCTATGAGTAAAAAACCTTGTGAACTTGCAATATTACTTCCTACATTTTAGGCTCATTTTTGTCATGTTGTGTATATCAGTATGTGTCAATGTGTCTTACTGCCCATGTTTTCTTTTTCTTTCCCTAACATCATTAATAAACCCAGAAAACTTTGTGGACTTTATTATATCAGAAAGGACATTTATGTTGTAGCATATCTATTATTGCTTATGTGCGTATGAAGAATCACTTTTTCCCCTTCCACCATATAATTAGTAGGATCACGAACAATTTCAACTGAGAATTCAAATTTAGATGCTGCCAGTCATCAATAATGACCCATAAACTCCAATGTTATGGGTATCATTTGAAAGGTATATGGAGAGCTTTTGATGTGATCTCCAAAAACTCTCTATTTTCCTCTTTTAATTACTTTATTATTCTTCATCTCCACACAAACAAACAAGAGAATGCACTGCCATGTTTGTTACATAGGTTAGAAACATGGACCTGACCTCTGGCTTGTAAGCAAAGGAATGTAAGAAGAAAAAGTGTATACAAAGAATGTTTTGGAAGTTTTAATAATGGTGTGATTTGGCTATGCAACTTAAAAGACATCCATCAATTGAATTTTGTTTTCATTATAATATATTAATTACAAAACATCATGAGTTTTGATTGATTTAGTACATTTCAATTGAAGCTAGATAGGTGGCTTTGACTTCTTGGACCCTATACCGTTGCATGTGAATCAATTACTGGTTGCACCTTCTGAGCACATATTGATTACGATATATGCTCTTATGACACTTAATTTAATGAATCTGGAATCAATTCAATATCTGATTATTTTCAAATTCCAAAGAATACTCTGTAGAAATGAAAATAGGTAAAATAGTAAATGCAGAAGTATGAATTATTAATTTTTTTTCTTTTCTTTATATGCCAGATATTGGAATTCTAGGCTTGCGACTGAAAGACAAAGGCTTCTTAGTGGTTTTACACGGAATGATGTTGTCTGTATGTTTCTATCTTCGAACCTTGATTATAATACTAGTCTACTTATATTATACTTCAATTTCCTTGTCTTTTGATTATTGTCTTTCCGATTTTGGAATTTGGCCATGGGGGTTTGAATATAGAAACAACAATTGCTTAGCGGTTGAAACCCCAAAAAAATTGAATTGCTTAGTGGTGGCACAAATAGACAATGCTGCTTGGGACTTGATGCAGATTTGATATGCTCTATGACTTTAATAATGAGATTAGTGTAAAATGCTTGGAATTGGAATCTTGTCTGATGGGGAATTTGACTTGTTTCACAACTTATGGGCTTGGTTCAAAAAAGGCTCATTCAGGTCAGTCATTAGTATGCGTAGATGTTAGGATGACAAAGGATAACTGGATAATTTGTAGTCTATCTACTTCCTGTATTAGTCCATAATAGACTATTTGATTTATTTGTATGATATTTGCTGGAATTTATGGTTTTCTTTCGAGCTTAATTACTTCTTATCTAATACATATACTGGTTGAATTTTATGAACGCTTTGAAGTCATAAGAAATGCATTGCATATACTAGCAGGATTTCATTGATATACTCCACCTCAAATTTTTTTTTTTTTTGGGGGGAGGGGGGGGGGGGGGGGGGATGTATTTTAACTGCAAGGTATACTGCATATGAACTTTAAATGCCTACATACAAAATCCTGCTTTAGTGTGTGATATACAAATTTGACATAAGTACATCATCAATGATAAAATTCCCTTTCATAACTGATTTTCCTAAAATTTTCACGCTTTTGCATATCATCCTTTGTAACATCATTATATATTCAATTGGCAGGTGATGTTTTCTCCGGAGTTGGTCCCTTGGCCATATCTGCCGCACGTATAGTTAAGCGTGTTTATGCTAATGACTTAAATCCATATGCAGTTGAGTATCTGGAAAGAAATAGTGTTCTAAACAAACTTGAGAGGAAGATTAAGGTATGATTGCTTGTTGAGTGAGTATATTCTTGACGAAGCTTCATCAACTTTTACATATGAAAAGATCAAAAGAAGAAGTACATTGAAAGTGGGCTCCAATTTTGGATTTTTAGATGCCATCTCTTTGTTAATATTACAAGAATTGAAAATTAATTTTCCGCACAATATTTTTGGGATTTTTGTAGATTTTTTAAGCTTGAAACTTCTGTGGATTATCTTACGTATAGAGTTAAGAAGCATGGACACGGAACACAAGACAAACAGTATAACCTGAAGTGTCCTTGCCAATGTTATTAGAACCGGACCGGTCATTGACCCGGTCGAGGTACCGGGTCACTGGGTCAATGGTTCAACTGGTGGGTCACTGGTTGAACCGCATGAACCGGATATATATATAAATTTATATTTTATACTTAATTATATAATAAATATTTTAAATGGTGCCATCTAAACAATAACCTGATGTAGTTTAGTGGTATTTGCTATGTTGCACAACCTCAATGGAAAGGGTTCGAATCCCATTAGATGCAATTTTTGAAATAATTCTCTTAACTTAATAGTTATATAATAAATATATTAAATGGTGTATATTATTCAACCAGTGATGGTGGCTTAGTGGTATGAGAAGGCGCTCCTCACTCCAATGAGCAGGGTCCGAATCCCATCTGCTACAAAAAATATTTTGTAACTAATTTTAAAAAATCGGTTCAAATAGAAAACCGGTACCGGTTTACCGGTTGAACCGGAGTTTATCACCAGGTCACTGGGTCAATAACGGGTCAACTACTTAAGCGGTCCAATGATGAAACCGGACCGGTTGATGGGCCGGTTTCCGGGCCAACCAGTCGGACCGGCCGGGCCGGTCCGGTTTTTACAACACTGGTCCTTGCTTCATAGGATGTAGGTGACTAATGTTTAAAAGGATGTGTCATACTGTCTTACATGATTTTTTCACACATTGATGAACCAAGGCAGAAGTTGCATTTGACAGCACTAGATTTCTTTATCGAATTTTCCGCCAACTAAGGTCATCATTTGTTGTTCTAGGTCTTTAACATGGATGGAAGAAGGTTCATTAAGGCTATGTATTCAAGTGATAAAGCTCAGTCCATCACACAAGTGGTTATGAACTTGCCAAATGAAGCTGCCGAATTTCTAGGTTGCTTTTCCTAACAGGATCACTCTTTATCTGTATAAATTATAATATTGTTTTTTATATGCCACATGTCTAATTTGATCTATCCCGCACATCTTTTCTGCATGATATAATTAAATATGTTGAACTTCCGCAATGTTTCCTTAAGCACAGATGATAAAGTATCAGGTGAATAAGGGCAAAATGTTTCTCTTGTTGCTTGGACTATGTTTCAATTAGTTCCTAGTACAGGGAGGATTGGGTTAGTCCTTTGTTTCATCCTCGTCCCATGCATCATACATAAAGACATACCTTCATGCCTAGATACCGAAAGGAATAGCAGGATCCAAAAAACACTTCAGGTCTCGATATGTTCAAGACCTTGGTTAAAAGAATGTGAAGCAGGGACTTTTTTTCAATTTAAATACGCTTCATAAGTAGTGAGCTCATGAGTCAAAACCTACCTAGCTGAGGTGACGGCAAAAGCATTATCTCTTGTACCTATATTTTTACTCTCTGTTTTTTGGCATATGATAATCTTACTTTATAACTGCTTAATTTGTGGTTTGTTCTTTGGTGTGTGATGGAACCTAGTTTTATTAACTGTAAATTGAACGAAACAGGAATGGAGCCAAGCTCCTTACAAACACTAATTGCAAATCAAGACACCAAAATACTCCAGCTCACCCTCGGAACCAACAAACCTAGGCTCCAATAGATCCCCAATTCCCCAATATTCGCTCAATACATGCCTCCCTCACTACACACGTTCTCTCTCCTTTTATCCTATCCTCTAAGAATATTTTAGAAGAATTCCTTAACTAACTAACTAATGGACTAACACTCCCCTTTTGCATACTGTTGTGCCACTTCCAGGCCCAACAATACTGCCCCTTCAAAACTCAGCTTGTCCTTAAGGTGAGGAAAGAAATAGAACTTCCACTCGGATCCCATTGCTTGAAAATTTTTGACCATGTCCCCTCATTGACTTCTTGTAGCCCCTCAGTGAATCTAGAAGGCAGTGTAGACCGATTTTTCTTTATCAGCGAGCAACAACATAACTCCATATAAAGTAGAAACCCTCTCTATGCCTTTACGCCATGTCCCGCTGAGCCCCTTATAAGATACCTTGCTACATAACACACATTCCCCCTCCTTTTATCCTATCCTCTAAGAATATTTTAAAAGAATTCCTTAATTAACTAACTAACACTCCCTTTTTGCATACTATTGTGCCACTTCTAGGCCCAACAATACTTCCCCTTCAAAACTCACCTTGTTCTCAAGGTGAGGAAAAAGATAAGGTAATATGAGAGAACTTCCACTTGGATCCCATTACTTGAAACATCTTGACCATGTCCCTCATTGACTTCTTGTAGCCTTTCAGTGAATCTAGAAGGCAGTTCAGACCGATCTTTCTTTATCAGCGAGCAAAATAGTAACTCCACATAAACCCTCTCTATGCCTTTACACCATGTCCCGCTCCGCCCCTTGTAAGATACCTTGCTACATGATAGCATTGAGTCCCCCATAATCGCCCTCATATGCCTCTGCCATGGAACCTTCGACATCCACTTCTTAAAATTAGCATGTGTCATTCCTAACCCTTGCAAACCTTCATATCCCAGAATTACATCTTCCCCCCTTAAGGTTAAAACGAAAAGAATTTCGGCCTTTCTCACGGGAAAATTATGAGGTCCCCGTACCCATTAAACCCACGACTCTTGGCCTTGGATTGCTACCCACCATTTCAGCAACCATGTGATGTCATTCCCATCATGGTATGTGTGTGTGCTCAATTTCAGCATTTCTCCATTAGCTGAGCAGTTGCCGCCGGCGACCAACTCTTCCTTTTCTGGCACTGGTTCGCTCATTCCCGGAAGCATGTCATAAAGATGGGAGCCAAAATGATGGAACCTAGTTTTATTAATTGTAAATGGAAGGAAACAGTAATGGAGCCAAGCTCCTTACAAACACTAATTGCAAATCAAGACACCAAAAGACCACCCAGCTCACCCTTAGAACCAACAAATCTAGGCTCCAAGAGACCCCCAATTCCCAATATTCATTCAATACATGCCTTCCTCACTTCACATTTCCCCCTCCTTTTATCCTATCCTCTAAAAATATTCTAGAATATTTCCTTAACTAACTAACACTCTCCTTTTGCACACTGTTGCGCCACTTCCAGTGTGCTGTTTGTGTCTATGTTTGGAGAGAACTAGTTTGTCTTATAATGTGAGATTAGTCATTAGGGTAGTCATCTTGTGGATTGTGAGGTGAATACATGCAATGATCAGGACAGATGTGAGTGGCTGTAGTCGGGCTGCTAAAGTTCTGTAGTTACTTTCTGTATGGGTAAACTTTTTACAATATCTTGATTTAATTTTTCAATGCCTTGCTTCCGCTGCAGATGCATTTCGGGGAATATACAAAGGTAGACGCAAGGATGGAGAATTTACTTTGCCGATGATCCATGTCTATGGATTCTCCAAAGCGGAAGATCCAGAATTTGATTTTCACGAGGTTGGTTGCTGATATTGTGTATATTTCTGTTGGGTCTTGGACTAGACTCTGCACAAATCACTCAAATTTGACCTTCCTGTTAGGCTAGTGTTATGTAAACCTTGTTCTAAAGACAACATTTTAATTAAAACCTTATGATGCAGAGAATAAGAATTGCGCTACTAGAAGTGGCAGTCAACGTAGACATGCGACGTGTACGACCTGTTGCACCTGGAAAATGGATGTTGTGCGCATCATTTATTCTCCCCAAAAGTGTGGCATTTGCTAATACTGCAGTTGATACATAAGAGCAGTTTTTAGATTGTCATTTAGTCATTGCGTGCAGTAAGTATTGTTCCGTTACATTAGTTGCCTCAAGTGATATTGTATATATATGTAACATGATGTATTTTTTTTCTCTCTCTGTAACTCTAGGTCTCTAGCATTATCAATTAGTGGATATTCAAAAAAGTAAATTCCAATATACCTATATTGAATTGTAAGAGCTGCAAACGGGCTTTTACCAAGTATAAATTGATTTTACCCTTTTGAAGGGGGTTCTGTAATATATCTAAGCTAGGTAGGATGAAATTCTTATATTGTCTGTATGATTATTTCCTATTACCAATGCTCTCTTTGCATGTAAACACTCAAACTCCAAATTCTTTTTGATTGAAAAGAAACCCTCAATTTTTTTGGCATACCTTTTATCTTTTTTGATAAAATAAAATGACTGAAAGAAGGCGCTACTGTGTTTTGACTTGTATCGAATGAAAGAAGGCCCGACCACTAGCCCATATGGATCACACATAATATATACCTTGTTTCTCTCTCTCTCTTTAAGTTTCGATAATCCACGATGTGATGAAGTACAACGTCTGTGCCTTGTACCTCAGGAAGAATGAAGAAGCAAAGCGAAAGCTTAGCAACCAATCTAAAGCCAAAGTAATAGTTTCTTAAAATTGAATTTGTAGGCAGAAATATGTTAAAGTAAATCCAATTTTAAAGTGTTACAGCTAGAGGATATCCTTGAATTTGCAATGCTCCCCGAAATTGCTAGTACAGCCCGTGGGTCCACTGCTTCTCTCTTGTTGCGGATGGCTCTTAACTCATTGAGTGGAGTAGATTGGTGCTCAAATTGTTTTAGTATCATGACTTATGAGTTGCCTTGTCTGCTTAGCTTAGTGATTATGTGGACTAACAACACCATTTGTATACGTACCATACCATACGTTCATAAAAGAAAAATTGTATTTGGGCACGTCAATGATTTGATTAAAACCTAAACTAGGTTCCAGACGGAACGTATAAGAGAACCTTTATTGTTTAGTCTTCACACTGTACAAGTACGTACATATATACGTATATGATTTGTTAATACTGTGGTGGGTTGCAGTTGGAGGACAGCTGAGAGATCTTTGGGTCTGGGTTTTATTTACTGGGAGTCTGGGACATGTACCAGACGCATATTGCTTTTATGTCTGGGACTTGTTGTTTTGTAATTGTTTTCCCTTAGGCAGGACCAACACAACTACCAGGTGATAGTGACCTCTTCATGCATCCAAAAACACGCCCTTTCTGTTCTGCAATGAATGCTCTCTCAAGCTCACACCCAATTCTTTGATCCTGCTATCCCTGGACGGTCCAGATAACACTCTAGCAAAGGCAGCACATATGCTGTTCTATGATCCTGTTCCTTTCATCAAAATCTTGTGTGATACATGTACTACTATATATATATATCCTTATGTTGTATTATGTATGTAGTTATGTGTACTCCCTCCCTGCCTACTACTATGTGGTGTGTGAGGGACAAAAGTGTACATTCAGGATGGTAGGTAAGGTAAGGGCAGAAGGGTAAAATGGGAGGGTGAAAGCAGAGGAAATCTCAGTTCAGATTGAGATCTAAATAATGATCTGGGTGGGGGTGGTCCTTCCTTGTGATTGTCTTATTGGTATGGATGTGTGAGGGAAAGAGGAATAAGACTTGTAGAGGAGGGATCTTTTGCTATTTTGTACTAAAATGGTTTGGCCCTTCACAAGTTGCATAAAGCCAGAACCAACAGTTACTCTAACTGCCCCACTCCTTTATGGCAATCTTTACAAAATAAACAATTTCTATTAGTTGCTTACCTCCCCCACTTCACTGTCTCTCTCCCTCATTAAACCATCCCTTTTTGCTGCTAAAAAACAACAAGGGGAAGCCTGATTTCAGACCCTGATTCCTCTATATTTATGAAATATAAGTATGGTTATATGTCTTGGGCACATTGATAAGTCCTCTTGGTGGGACACTCCGTTTTCCTTTTCATCCTTATTCACTTGTTAAAATTAACTCCAAACTTTAGCTATAGTCCACACAGATTAACAACCAAACATTTGTATAGGAGGACAAAATATAATAAAACCTATATAATTAAGTAATTACATTACTAATACATCATAAAAGTGTGAATTTTTCCAATAATATACTTAAATAGTCAAATATCCCCAACATAACTAAATAACATTTGCCATTCCAAAATTAACCCACCATTGCATGTTAGCTCAATTTTTTTATTTTGAGTAAATATCATTTTGGGTCCCTAACAAAAAACACGGTTCCCACTTTATTTTCTTACAAAAAAAAATTAATTTTGAGGTCCCTAAGAAATTCAAAGTGGACTCATTTAGTTGAAATCGTGGTCCCTCACAAATTCAAAAAAAACCAACATTAGTCCCTCAAAAGGACTAAAATGGGTCAACTTTAAATTTCTCAGGGATCTCGAGATTATTTTTTTTTTGTAAGAAACTAAAGTGGGGACTGTATTTTTTGTTAGGGACTCAAATATATTTATTCCTTTTTTTTTTCTTCTTCTTCTAATGAGTGTGATTATAGTCTATGTTGCACTGACACTGGCACGGGACATGGGACACGAGATATGACACGACACGATACTCCGACACGTTAATTCTAAAAAATATTAAATTTCGACACATTAGAACACGTTTTGATATTATATAATATTTTTTATTTATATAGTGTATATTATATTTCATGTTCAATAATTTAACAAAAAAATAAAGTTAAACTTATAATACCCATTAATTTTTCAAAGAAACATAAGAAATTTTGCAAAGAAACATAAGATATTCTAAATTTTTATATTAAACTCAATAAAATGGTAGTCGTAATCTAACGAATCTAATAGTTAGAACTCAAAATAAAACACAACGTAACCTTTAAATTTTTTTTGAGTCTTTACAATGAATATTAGAATAATATCGATAAGTGTCAAAAAAAAAAAAATGTTAAATACTACATGTCAGTGCTTTATAAATTATAGTTACAAAGGTGGTGCATTGGCAAAAGAAAGTACCAGGGTTTGATTGGAAGGTTCAATAATGAGTGTGATGTGGTCCCCAGCTAGCTAAGCCAACCCTAGCAATGGGCCACAATCACAAGGCCACAATATATTATATGTAGAGAGAGAGAGAAACTTATCCCAAATACCAATGATTTTCCATGCAAATGAAGGGCACAATCTGGTTTCCAGGAACCCAAGAATCCACCATGTCTGCTCAATCCCAGCAAAGCCCTTCCTCCAAAACCACCAATCCTCACACGTGCCAACTCTCTCTCTTCTCTCTCTCTCCTCGCTCCTCCCTCCACAGCCGCCTATATTCCGTACCGGAGCTCCACCTGCCCTGACAACCCTCCACGTAGGTAAGGGGGACCACCACCTCTTCTGGGACCTACCATACCAAGAAGCGGCGCTCCGTCCTGTGCTTTATGTTGTGACTGTTTCATTGGTCCTAAGTCTTGACCATCATGTTCCTTGAAAATCTCTGCACGCAGTTTGTTTGGGTTTTATGTCCCAATTCTTCACTAAGATTTTGCATAACTGGGCATCATAGGATTTGCATGTTGGAGTTACACTTATATGCACAAATGAATTCCCCACAACAACAATGTCCGCATGCATGTTAAGTTTAATTAGTACTAGATACTTAGCTAGTTCCATTTTACTTTGATGAGTAATATTCCATTGTTACCACCAAGAACATGAGTTAACGGGTAAGAGGTTATTTCAATTTAATTAGTGATTTCGAGTTCGAATCCCTAAGAATATGATTGTATTAAATCTTGCTAGGAAAAACTTTGCTGCTCATGTGATTTTACTCGACTCGAATTAGACTAATAGAGTGACCCATGAACTGATGGATAATATATATATATATATATATATATATATATATATATATATATATAGGTAATATTTCAAACCCCCAAAGGTAGTTTAGTTGGCAACTGAGCTCCCAAGGATTTGTTTGGGTCAGCCTCAAGCAAATTTTTCTTTCCTTTGATAGCAAAGCTCAATGCACCCGCTATTCAAATGAGGTGATAACTTTTGGGACCAAAGAGATTGAATTGAGATATTTGCAGGTTATACCAAAAAAGAAGAAGTAATATTTCATTGTATAAATATGAGATTTTGTGGCTGCAGCCTGGAAGTTCAAGGAGTGTATAGTGCATAACCCATCTTGTGATTTTTATATTCATAAGAAATAAATTAAGAAATCATATATTCTAAGTTGAGCATATATCTCGTTTTTTAAAAAAAGCATATATGTCTTTATCTTATTTGAGGAATGCTAGAAGGATTTAGAATTTTTCTATTTAATATTGTTGTTCAATTTGAATTCAGTTATATGTTCTATATGGTCAAGCATAAATGGTTGAGTTGCCAAGGATAACTATTGAATTGTATTAATTGATGAAGAATATTAGATATGGATGGGTTTAGGGATTAGGGCGAAGATGAAATGATGGTGAAAGATTTTATCAATAAAAATGATGGTGAAAGGGACATTTTAAATGTCCCCTACTGTTACAATCAATATTATTGCTTTTTCAAGAGCAAAGAGATTTGGTTTACATTATGGCTAGAATTTTGAAGGGCATGCAAACTCACATTAATTAAAAGTTAAAAAATTCCAAAGAAAGAAAGTAGAATAAAAAATTCTGATGTGTAAGTTATGGCAAAATGGATGTTGTATCATGGGCTAAGTTATCTCCTGTATAAAATTCATCGCACTGATTTTGTTACTACAATTAAATAACTAAATTAACCACATTGCACTGCATGAAAAATGGACGCATAATTACATGTTATGGACTCTAAAAATCATCAGGTTTCAAAGGATGAAATAACCGGAATTGCATAGAACAAAAATGAAACCCCATAATTGAATTGGAAATATTGGTAAAACCAATAGTTTGGACTCATTTTATTGTTTGTATCATATGAATAACGGTAGGACTTAATTACTGACCGAAGAAAAATAAATAAATGAAACTAATCAGGAAATAACCAATAGGGGACATCAATTAAAGATAGGGTTCGTCGAGGAATTGGAATGTAAGAATCTCGATTCATACAGATACAGAAGAAAGGGTTCAGGGCAATCCACATCGATGTAATGAAAGTGATGGACCCACGACAATGACAGAACGCCCCCCAATTGGTAGAAAAAAACCCGCAACTCCTTGGGGTTATCCTGCACTTGGAAAAAGA